GTTGACTCTGAATTTGGATAAAACATATATTTTTGGATATGTTCATGAACCTGAAACTATCAACTTGTTCCCCCCTCAAATTGGTCCTATACAAATGGGGTTTTGGATAATTTTTTTAATAATTTCGGGTAAGTATAAAACAATATCTGTTTAAATATAACTCTCAATTATTTGACAATGAACGTTCTCACCCCTGACATTTCTGATGTTCGAATCCGGGACCTCAAAAAATAACAACAATTCCTTTATCACTGAGATCATTCGATTCGTGCTTTAAACACATAATATGTATACAAACTATATAACATTTTATTTATGATTATCGGATAGTTCTGTTGTACGGTAGTCTTAATATACGGCTAAGAAAATGTCCTATCGGAAATGTTAATATTTTTTTAACATTTTCGGTAAAACACTACCTAAAACATTATTTTTTACCGAAAATGTTAATTTCACTAACTAATTTTCGGTAGAATTCAATATTAACATTTCTGATAGAAAATAATGTTTTAGGTAACGCTTTATCAGAAATGTTAAACATTTTAAGTAGCGCCCAATATTAACATTTTAGGTAGAAAAAATAATGTTTTATGTAGCGTTTTACAAGAAATGTTAAAAAAATATTACCATTTCCGGTAGTGACTTTTTTTAGTCGTATATTAAGATTATTGTATCTGATACATCCCTATGATTATCTATTGAATAATTTTGTGTATATATATTTATATATAATTATTTTTCAATCACATCTTGAATGTAACAAAATCTAATATTTATTGAACTTGTGCATACGTGTGCTAATAAATTATAAGTTCAATAATATATTGACAATTAAAAATTGGATAAACTGCATAAATAATTTCTGGACTTTTAGAATATTTATATTTTGATTATTGAACTTTTAAAACTTACATTACAATCAATAAAATTTTAATTTGTTACTATTATGATTACTGCCGAAAGTCATCGTTAAAAATACTGACGTGACATATTAAATTTTATTGATTTTTTGCTAAGAAATTATAAAAAGATAAGGCTTAATTATAAAATAAGTGCTCAAATTATATTTTTTCACAAATAGGTGCATAAATTATTTTTTTAATGATCCAGGTGCCTAACGTTACAAATGTTACCACTGTGTCTAGACCCTGACCAATTAAGTGACAAATGTCATATTCTAGTAATCTTGAAATTTATTTATTTTTTAAAAAATTAAAAAATTATTATATTTATAAAAAAACCCTAATTTATCTTAAATTATAAAAAAATCCCTAAAAATCCTAAATCCCTAACCCTAACTCGTCTCCACCCCTTTTGGCCATGACCACCGCCGGCTACGCACTCCCTGCTATTCTCCTAGTCATTCGCCGCCGTAGTTGATGATATTGGCCATCAAATCACGTGTGATCAAGATTTTCATCATAGGATTCGCAAGGTAAAAAATGTTGATTGGTCATCGTGGATTGTCGATCGGTCGCGATTTTATATAGGTATTGATCGTTGAAAGAAGGTGAGGTCGGGTGGAGCTTTATCGACGGTAAGGATGGAGGCTAGTGTGTGTTTAGGGGTTGAAATGAAAGCTTTCAAAGTTTTGGGGCTATTTCAAAATTTGTGTTTTTTAAATAAATTTTAGTTTTTTCATTTTAAATATTTTTTAAAATTACCAGAACGTGACATGTGTCACTTGACAAAAGAAATTAACAATGTTTACGGCTCGGGCACCTAAAGTGGCAACGTTTGTAACGTTAGACACCGAGTCATTTAAAAAACAATTTGGCACATATTCGTATGCTATAGTTTTAACACTTATTTTATAGTTAAGCCAATATATATTGTTAAAGAGCACCACGTAAACTTTTCAAAATTAGTGCTAAAAACACAAATATATACAAACATAAATGACCTTTTGTGTAGTTTAGGCTAAAAATAAAGAACTCAACATTGCGTTTCTTGGCAGATAAAACGCAGCGTTTTGATTTCTGGAATTATATATTCGAGGCTTCCCTCTCTTTTTTTCCCTCCACACCAAATCAGTTAGACAGTTACTAAAAAATTCAGTTCCGTAACCCGCATTGCGCTCCGGCCCGATTCATAACCCCAAAATGGCGTCGTCGTCAGAACCTCCTTCCGACGACCCTTATGAAAAAGTCAGGCGCGCGGCTGCCAATCTTTACGCCGATACTCAAGCGTTTGTCGCTGTAAGTTATTTTCCTTTTTCTTTCCATTGAAGTAAAAAATGTTCTGTTTTACAAAGCAAGTTTCAAGGTTAGATTTGTTTTTTTCAGGAGATAAGGAAAACCTTGAATGTGATTAAGGATATCGCTGTGGACATGGAGAGAGAGAATCAGTCTGACGTGGTATTGTTATATTAACTTCATGTAACTTAATCAAGATATTATTTTTAGTTTGTTTCTGTCTTTCTTGTTGTTCTTGTTGGTTTCTTGTTGCTTGATTAACCTAATTTGACGTGTTAAGAGAAGCGGACAAATGTGGGATTCAAATAAGTTTTATCTTTCTTCATTACCCATAAATCTAAAGCCATTGTACTTGTTATGTAAGAAGGAAGTATTGAATATTTGAAAAAGAATCAATGAATTAAACTTTCTCTAGTGAAGCCTGAAAGATGCTCTGGATGATTAAAATTATTATATAAGTTTTCCTTTTATCAAATTTCTGGGTTGTTTGCTGTAATATCAGTCGTTACTACAGATTCTTGATTGCAGAGGATAATAAAAGTAACATTGAAGAATGAAATGAGATATGCTAAAAGAATATCCAATGCTTTAGAGAAATGCGACTTGAAAACCAAAAGTTCAAAGATATCAGATTTCGAAGTATTTTCTGATACAGTATGGTATTGGGAATTCATTTTGTAGGTGAAGAAGATAGAAACTGCTTTCGCTACGATGGTAGAAACTCGTGAAATCTGTCTACATCGTTCATCAGCCTTTCGATCCATTGGAGAAGCATACCAACCAGGAGTTGAGGTGCACATTTAGTAATATTTCCTTTATACATAACTCTTTTTTTGGGGTTTAGTACTGTTCTATGTAGATGTGAATTTACTGAATTTATGTCATTTGTTGCTTGCATGTTTTAAACTGCAGTCAACTGATTTTGAGAAGTCGATTGACACGGCACTCGAAAAGATCGAGGCTAGTTCATCTTCATGTCCACAGAATCATCCCCTGATGCTTCAGTTTCAGCAAGCTGTCTGGGTATGATTTTTGAACTCATCAAGTCACTTTTAAAATTATTTGGCATCAATCCGAATAGAGGTAAGTAGATCAGAATATAGACCACTTCATGAAGGAGGTGCTAATACCATGTCAAGAACCGCTGAACTAAAAGCCGGACGCCGGTGTTATTAGATATTATGTGCCACTCCATATACCAATGTTTACCATTAAGCTTTTTTTAGTTTTAGTGGTAATATGATAATAGATAAAACTGTTGTATATCATCATGCAAGTGAGGCTTCTTACATATCCAGTGTTGGTGAATCTTCTGCAGAATGTTCATCATGCTGGACAGCCAATGCCAGGTGAAGAGCAGGAGGATATTGTTATGACCAGTATGGAGAACAATATTAAGAATCTTAAATGTCCTATCACCGGAAAGCATATTACTGAACTAACAGATCCAGTTCGCAGGTATTGTGAATTTAAAAAGTGGTTGCTGGCGAAAAATCATATTTTCTTTTATGTTCAAGTGATATTTTCTCTTAGGGGGTTTTGAGTTTAGAAACTTGAGCATGCATCATGATGTATATTTCTGTGTCCATTCTTTTGTTTCAACCTACATCCAGTTTGTTTACCTTTGTGATGCAGCTTGGACTGCAAGCACATTTACGACAGGAATGCTATTCTGAACTTCATAGAATCCAACCATGGCAATGTCAAATGCCCCGAATCAGGTATACATTACTAATTCATACCGGAATTATTGATTTTCTACAGCACTCTCATTCCTGACCGTTTCTTCTTCTATCAGCTTGCCCCAAGATGCTGCAGGCAAAAGGAGTCGTTTGCGATCCTTTGTTACTCTTCGATATAGAAGAGCTGCGCACATTGAGTGATAGAAACGGATGTGATAGAAGATCTCACAGAAACGGAGCCTCAAGATGAAGAGAATCCATGATGGATGGCCTCTCCTAGCCTGATCAGAGTCCCTCCTTTATATGGCCTTGATGCATATAATTGAAAGTGTAAGTATGCATACTATTGAAACAATTGAGAAACATATAGGAAGGAAATTTTATACTGAAGTTGATTACAAAACTCATTCTTGATGAATCTAGAGAGAATATTTGACTTTTAATTCTTTTTAAACTTGATTTTTAATCATTTTTTTAACCAGTTGCAAAGTGTGGATGCATATGATCGCTTCCAATGTAGTTAAAGATAAAACCAAAGAAACAAAAATCACGCCCATGATTGAAGGAAATCTCTGCACGAAAAACCAACAACTCCAACCATCGTTGAACTTCCAAATCAACAACCGAAAAAAAACAACAAAAATCTTCAGTTTCAACACGCAATGAGTTGTTGTCCAGTTTGTCTTATACAAAAAAAAGCCATTGTTTCTCTTATTTTATTCCTCGTAATCCATGACCAAAAACACCCATCACATGGCAAATGAGCTGTGCTGTCAAAAACGACAGCAATATCATAGCCTTTATATGAATATAACACACAATTCTCAGCTCAGCTCAGCTACCAATCCCAATATAAAATCTGGGTTTCTTAGCTGTGATCTCGAAAAGCACATGGCTACCTTGCCCACATGGCTTTTCTTAATCGAATTCCTCCAATAGATGACATGATAAAACGATGGTAAAATGCAAAAGTATCTCGCTTGTCTGTCTTTTCTTGCATATGATACTCAGTTCGCAATGATGGAGAAAGTTGAAGCTCTCGATCTTTTAGAGGAATCCTGGTTTTTCGAGAACTTATTCGATAGGAGGAGGATGTTAAGATGTTATTCGGATCCTTTACTTCACCGAATTTCAACCAGGATGTTTTGGCTAAAGATTCATGTGATCAAACGGCAATGGTTTGGTTCGTGCACCTTCGTTGCCGCCGTGTATAGGGAGGGAAGAAAAGGTTCGAGAAAGGAAGGATAATGTGGGAAGATGAAATTGAATAGGCAGTTATCAGTTCAGATATGGAAACAAAGTGTTCGGATCATAAGATATGAAATCAAATCGAGCGGCGAATCATCTTCGATACGTAACTTACTAAGACACCTTCTTTGCCTTCTCCAAGGGAGACTAATGAGTTAACTCAGGATAATGACAATGATCTTAGAATGAGCAAATTGATCCGACAAGCAATTGCTAACTCACCAGATATATTGCCCCCAAGGCATAGTCATAGCAAGGTACGAATCTGATCCTTTTTAATCTGATCTTTTTGCAATTTGGCAATGTGGATTTTATTTTAATCTTATGTCATTTTCATTTGCAGGCAATGAACTTGCAAAGGTCTAGTAGACCACCAAGAAACCAAGATGTGGAAGCCATTAACAACGCGAACGAGGCCTCGGTCACGAGAGGCCTGCATTTTAATCCGAACCGGATGCTTCGAAAAAGCCATAGTGATCTTGCATTCCAAGAACTGCAAGGGTTCAAGGACTTGGGATTCACATTCGACGACGGAGATTTGAGCCCTGATGTGGTTAATATACTCCCAGGCTTGCAGGGAACTAAGATAGATGAGTTGGAGCAAGGGAAAGTGAGGAAGCCATATTTGTCCGAGGCATGGCTCGTACAAGGCCCTGCACCTCCTCTTCCAGCTTGTGTAACTAAGAACTCAGCAGAGGATATGAAGGCACAAATCAGGTTTTGGGCCAGAGCTGTTGCCACTAATGTTCGACAAGAATGCTGAGAATTCATTACAAAACTTGACATTATTATTTCTAATCTAATTTTTCCAGTTTCCCAGATTTTTATTTTGTTTTCATGTAGGACTGATAATATATTCTTTCCCCACTGTTCATGTTCCAAAGGTATTTGTAATTATTTTGTTTAGATAAATATTTTTAATAAAATAATTTTTGAGTTGCCAATAGATTGACATTTTTATAATTCGAGTTGAAGATAAAATCATAAAACAGATATTTTTCAGAATACAATGCTTCAAATCTAGATCCATAAATGATTTTGATGTCAAACAAATTTCTCTAAAGCTAAAACCTTTAAAAGAAAAACCCTCTGCTGCAAATGCTTCCATCTCTTAGACTTAGTTTGTTTTTACTGTACAACCTCTTCAAACCTCTTATGTTTGTGTCGCGCAGACCACGCGTAGACATTAGGCTTCGCAGACCGTTTGTTTTTTAGAAGACAGAAGCTCTTTTATCGTCTGCGCGAACTTTTCTTGGTGCAGACATGTTTGTTTGTCTTCAAAGATCTTCAAACCTCTTCAAAAACATTATATATAGTTTTTTATTAAATAATTTTAAATAATTTATAAGGTTATTTATTTTAAAATAATTATTTTAAAATAATTTATTATAAATAATTTATTTTAAATAATTTATTTTAAATAATTATTATAAATATGTATTTTATTATTTTAAAATTTATTTTAATAATTTTTAGTATGGATTGATTTTTAAAATATTTGTTTTTTAATAATATTGTATGGATTGATTTTTTAAAAATGGATTTTTATTAGTATGGATTGATTTATTTTAAAATATGGATTAATTTATTTTAAATAATTTATTATTGTAGTTGTATGAATTATTTAAATTTTAATATTGTAAAACTAAAATTATTTAAATATCAATATTACAAAACTCTTTTAAGTTTAAAAAATCAATTTATTTATATTTCAATTTATTTTAACAGTTTGCATACGTTAAAAAATAAATAATCTTCTTCTTACAAACTGTAAACTTTTGATCTACTTTTACTGCTACATATACTTACATATATGATCCATATACTATAGACCTTTTACCTCTAAAAAAAAAAAAAACAAACACAACTTAATCTCCTGTCATCTTCTCCCTCTTCCCTTCTCTCCCGCCCTCCCCTCCTCAACCCATCTTCTTCCCCACTCTTCCTTCTCTAAAAACACAGTTTTTTCTTTCGTTTCTCTCCTGTACAAAGTGCACATTTGGTCATCATTAATTCAAGCTCAAGGACCCGTGACCACCATAGCAGAAGCTGAAGAGGAAGAAGATGGACCTTTTGAGCTACCACCGTCTTCCACTTCTACTTCAATCTTTGCAACAAATGATGACCCCACTCCCCTCCAAACCGCCACCAGTGTCTTGCTTACCGGCGCCATCGGGGTCTTCCTGTTTCGCTCCCTTAGACGCCGTGCTAAGCGTGCCAAAGAGTTGGTCAGTATCCACTTTGCTGAAAACAAAATTTCCCTAGCCTCTTTTGGTTGCTTCTGCCAAATTCTTTACTTTCAAGAATTGGATTTTCCTTATCTAGTAATTTGAATTGGAATTTCGAGTTTAAACCCTCAATTTCCCATTAAAGGTTGAAACTTTGAATAGGGTTGGATATTAAAGAGAGTAGTTTTCTTGTCTCTAGCAATTTAGGTCATCAGGGGCACAGAAATCATTGAAGGAAGAGGCACTAGACAACTTGAAAGCAATGGCTTCAACTTCAATTGATACCAAGTCATCCACACCCTCAGCAGTTCAAGCATTGTTGGGAAGCATAGCTGCTGGTGTCATTGCTCTTATTCTTTACAAATTCACCACAACCATTGAGGCAGCTCTTAATCGCCAATCGATTTCTGATAATTTCTCGGTTTGTAGTTGCCTAGCTCTTTGAATTTGTGAGCAGTTTATCTATGAACTTACCTTATACTTATCAGCATATATGTGGCGCCCTTTCCTGTTTTATACTATTTGCCATTTTTCTTTACAAGTTTCATCTTTATGCTTTGCAGGTTCGTCAGATATCAATAACAATCAGATAGATTTCAACTAGTTCCTCATTTTATTAAGCTCCTAGCTGTAAATGTCTGTAGTTTTCATCCTTTATAAGCTTCTGATTTGCAGGACTATTGTGAATGGATTGTGCTACCTTGCAACATTTGTTTTTGGTATCAATTCTCTAGGCTTATTCCTTTATTCGGGTCAGCTTGCCATAAATTTGATCATGGGAGGTGCCACAAATAATGAAAACGAGAGTAAAGGTGAGGAGAATGTAGGCTCATCGAGTTCAGTGAAAGAAAATGTTGCAGACGGGATCAAATCGACCATCAGGAGAGAGGATCAGAGTCCAGGTGATAAACAATAATGATAAGTTCGGTCTGACTTTTCATTTTTAAAGTATTCGAGTTTGAAACATATCAGAACATTGATATGATCTTCCAAATGCAAAATCTGAAACTGATATCAGAGTTCGAGTAACATCGATCCGTGCAGTCGATGCCTGATAGTGGAAAATTTTGTTTGTGGTTGTTGATTAAGTGCTACACCATATTCAGGTTTATCAATCTCCATTCTCTTCTCTATTCAAGGTTGGATATGCACAATTCAACCCCAATTTCATCCTTTATAAACCCACCAATATGCCAATAAACTATGTAAACACGACCAATTCACCATTTACCCCATCATACATAATGTTTGATGTATTTTCATATCTTGATTTTAGAAAATACCATAAGGTTCAACTTGTTACTACCAGTGTCACTCTCATTCATTGAGCTTCCCAACAAGCTCACTTTGCTAGTAAAATCCTGTATCGTGTAATCCGGATTGTTGTATTCTTGAACATGGAGGTTGTCCTCCCAAAATTAACACAGTATTCCAGATTTCGTACATCTTGAAACTCCGAATAGTGCTGTTATTTTCCCGAAAAGAAGAAAAATGAGTAAATACTATGTAACTTATGGAATTTCGTTGAGGCATATTCACAAAGAGGTCTCAGCAGATGGTCGGTTCAAACTCATGAGTTGAAGCATATGCAAAACAAACATCGACCAAAACTAGAGTTATCTGCAGTGGCATCAACTAAGTTATATATATATATATAATTGGATGGATGGATGAGTATTAAGGTGCGTTTGGTTCACGGAATGTAAGATTATCGGTGGGAATAAAAGATTACTAGGAAATAGGATTACTGAGAATGTTGTATTTTGTGTTTGGTTGGTTTAGTAGGAATGTAAGATTATCTTGTTTGGTTAAAAGAATAAAAGATTATTGGAATATATATTTGACCAAATTGTTTTTATTTTGTTTGTTTTTTTAACAAGTAGAAAAATATTTATATATTTTCTTTAAAAAAATTAAATTCATAAAATTTATATAATTTTTTTACAAAATTGAAAATATAAAAAGGTTTAATGAAAGGGTAAAATTTTATTTTAACCACTGAACTTCATATAAAATTTTAATTAGACTTTTTTTGTATATCTAAAATAGTTTAAGGATAAATTTGTAATTTAACATTCATAGAATTTTTATTATTCAATGACAGAAGAATGATATTTTTGAAGAATTTTTTAAGGTCATTTTAGTCCAAAACGCCGGTAATCCAACAATACATAAGGGAAGGGGGTAATGACATTCCCGGTAATATACTCCAAAAAATCCACTATTGGTAATAAAACATTACCGGGAATGATATTCTCGGCCAACCAAACGGGAGAATGTGGATTTCATTCCCATGAGAATCCCACATTCCCCGAACCAAACAGCCCCTTAGAGTCTGATTTAGCATCTCTGTATAAAATTATGCTTTTGTAACTTATATTTAGTCCATTTGTCATATAATCTACCACGTTAATTTGTCACCCTAGACTGTCATGTTAGTATTGTTAACTGTCACATTAGTATTGTGAATTGTCACATCAATATTGTGAATTGTCACATCAGTATTGTGAACTGTCACATCAACACTGTAGAGGTCAATAACGAAAAAACATTGGTCAAATAACCACATTGAATTTATTTTTCGAGTTAAAGGGTACAATGAGAGAAAAAATAATATAAAGATCACATTGAGAGAATAAATAATGTGAGGGTTGCATTAGTTTTTTCAAAATTACAGGGACCTCTAATGTCTTTTTGCCTTTTAAAATTTTAATGGTTAGTATATATGTCCTAAAATGTTGGTGATTAGTTATGTAATTTACCCTAAAAATATAAATAAAAATAGTAATGGAAAAAAAGGGAAAACAAACTCTCAACAAAATGCTAACGTAGAAAAGAAAGCCCTAGTTAAATCCTCCTCTGTCTGTTTCTTCTTTAGTAGCTCACTTCACTCCGAGCAGCCGCACCATTTCTAACTCAGGCTAAGCATAAGAATAGAGAAGAACCCAAAGATGAGCTGCTACAAAAGCTTCACTTCTTCTTCTTCAACTCACCATTTCTCTTCTTTATCCAAACCCATCCTTCCCAAATCCTTTAACTTTCATCCATTTTCCTTCATTTCCGCTTCCCACCCGAACCCCAACCGGAGCTCTTTCCATCTCCGTTCATGGCCGCTGCAACGCCGCCTCTCTCCCACGCCCTCCAAACGTGTCCTCGCCCAAGCGAGTCCCATAGCCTCTGCGGAAGAAAAGGGTGTCAAACTGGGTAGAAGGACGGATTTGAAAAAGATCATGATCCTTGGAGCCGGTCCCATCGTCATCGGCCAAGCTTGTGAGTTCGATTACTCGGGCACCCAAGCATGCAAAGCGTTGAGGGAAGAAGGGTATGCTGTTGTTTTGATCAACTCGAATCCGGCTACCATCATGACCGACCCGGATTTGGCTGACCGGACTTACATAACTCCCATGACACCGGAATTAGTTGAACAAGTCCTCGAGAAAGGAACGTCCCGATGCGCTTTTACCGACAATGGGTGGCCAAACAGCCTTGAACCTCGCCGTGGCTCTGGCAGAATCCGGGTTCTGGAGAAATACGGCGTGGAGTTAATAGGAGCGAAGCTTGACGCCATCAAAAAAGCTGAGGACCGTGACTTGTTCAAGCAAGCTATGAAAAATATAGGTATAAAGACTCCACCTTCAGGGATAGGGAACACCTTAGATGAATGTTTCCAAATAGCTAGTGAAATCGGGGAGTTCCCATTGATCATTAGGCCAGCGTTTACTTTAGGAGGAACTGGGGGTGGCATAGCTTATAATAAGGAAGAATTTGAGGCTATTTGTAAGTCGGGTTTAGCTGCTAGTTTGACATCCCAGGTTTTGGTTGAGAAATCGTTGCTGGGATGGAAAGAATATGAGTTGGAAGTCATGAGGGACTTGGCTGATAATGTTGTGATAATTTGTTCAATTGAAAATATGATCCGATGGGTGCATACTGGGGATTCGATTACCGTGGCGCCGGCGCAAACCTTGACTGATAAGGAGTATCAGAGGTTGAGGGACTATAGTGTTAAGATTATTAGGGAGATTGGTGTGGAGTGTGGAGGTTCAAATGTGCAATTTGCGGTTAATCCCGTTGATGGTGAAGTTATGGTCATTGAAATGAATCCGAGAGTTTCAAGAAGTTCTGCCTTGGCTTCGAAAGCTACAGGGTTTCCAATCGCGAAAATGGCTGCTAAGTTGTCAATTGGGTATACTTTGGATCAAATTCCTAATGATATTACCAAGAAGACTCCAGCAAGTTTTGAGCCTTCTATTGATTATGTAGTGACTAAGGTGAGGAACTTGTTTCTTTGCCTCTTTGGATGCTTTTGTGGGTTTACAATGTAGATAAGGTTAAGAAAGCACTGGTTTCTTTTGCAACAATAAAAACTCAGAATTGTAATTTCCATATATAATGCTTAAGATCATTCATCTACAACATCACGATGCATCTCATAGAAGGAACAATAGATTAGAATATTCATTTTGTGCCAAGATTGAGTTAGCATTCAATTTTTAGTTTACTTGCATGTGATTTTATATAATAAACTTCTGGGTTCCTTTTGTTTTCCTAAAATCTTTCATCTACAATAATGATGCAGATCCCGGTTTGCATTTGAGAAGTTCCCTGTTCCCCACCAATATTGACAACTCAGATGAATCCGTTGGTGAATCCATGGCTCTAGGCCGCACATTTCAGGAATCCTTTCAGAAGGCAGTCCGATCACTGGAATGTGGCTACTCTGGATGGGGATGTGCTGAAATTAAGAACTTGACTGGGATTGGGATCAGTTGAAGTATAGTCTGAGAGTTCCCAGCCCAGAACGAATCCATGCTATATGCTGCAATGAAGAAGGGGATGAAAGTAGATGAAATATGAGCTGAGTTTCATTGACAAGTGGTTTCTCACTCAGTTTGAAGACTTAGTAGATGTGGAGCAACATCTCTTGTCCCGAAGTTTGTCTGATCTGACAAAGGATGAATTTTATGAAGTAAAAAAGAGAGGCTTTAGTGATAAGCAGATAGCCTTCGCTACCAGGCCTCAGAGGAAGAAGTCCGGAAAAGACGATTATCTTTGGGAGTTGTTCCAGCATATAAGAGGGTAGATACTTGTGCTGCAGAGTTTGAGGCCATACTCCTTATATGTATTCCTCTTATGATTTCGAGTGTGAATCTGATCCTACTGGAAAGAAGAAAGTTTTGATCTTGGGTGGAGGACCAAATCGTATTGGTCAGGGGATTGAGTTTGACTACTGCTGTTGCCATACATCATTTGCACTTCAGGTTTGCATCCCCTGTTTCCTGTTTATGCTTCCACACATTCAATAATCCGAAGCTACTTATGCCAATTTCAGTGTTTTCATCAATTTGCTGATTTCTTTTTTTTTCTGGCCAATCTCTTTTTTGTGATTTTCCTCTTTGCAGGTAGCTGGTTTTGAGACAATCATGATGAACTCAAATCCTGAAACTGTATCCACAGATTATGATACCAGCGATCGTCTTTACTTTGAACCCCTGACAGTTGAAGATGTTCTAAATGTTATTGATTTAGAAAAACCCGATGGCATCATTGTGCAGTTTGGAGGTCAAACACCGCTTAAGCTTGCTCTACCCATCCAGCATTACTTAGATAAGCATCGGCCTTTAGCTGCCAGCGGAGCTGGGCTTGTTCGCATATGGGGTACATCACCAGATTCCATTGATGCAGCTGAGGACAGAGAAAGGTTCAATGCAATCCTTAAGGAGTTAAGATTGAGCAGCCAAAAGGAGGGATTGCCAAGAGTGAAGATGATGCTCTTGCCATTGCAAAAGATATAGGTTACCCAGTAGTTGTTCGGCCTTCTTATGTATTGGGTGGCCGAGCAATGGAGATTGTATATAATGATGACAAGCTTGTGACATATCTAGAGAACGCTGTTGAGGTGGACCCAGAACGGCCTGTACTGGTAGACAAGTATTTATCTGATGCAATTGAGATTGACGTCGATGCACTTGCTGATTCACATGGGAATGTGGTGATTGGAGGGATAATGGAGCACATAGAGCAAGCTGGGGTCCATTCTGGTGACTCTGCCTGCTCAATTCCCACGCAAACAATCACATCTTCTTGCTTAAACACTATAAGGTCATGGACTACAGAACTGGCTAAGAGGCTAAATGTCTGTGGGCTCATGAACTGTCAGTATGCGATCACAGCTTCTGGTGATGTTTTCTTACTTGAGGCAAATCCCCGTGCTTCACGCACCATACCATTTTTTCCAAGGCAATTGGGCATCCACTGGCCAAATATGCTGCTCTTGTTATGTCAGGAAAGTCACTTAGTGATCTAGATTTCACTAAAGAGGTGATTCCAAACATGTTTCGGTTAAGGAAGCTGTTCTTCCATTTGAGAAGTTCCAAGGTTGTGATGTTTTGCTAGGTCCTGAAATGAAAAGTACTGGTGAGGTGATGGGCATTGACTTTGAGTTTGCAATAGCTTTTGCAAAAGCTCAGATTGCTGCTGGGCAGAGGCTGCCACTCTCTGGCATGGTTTTCCTCAGCTTAAATGACTTGACAAAGCCCTATCTTGAAAGAATCGCAAAAGCTTTCTTGGGGTTGGGATTCCATATTGTTTCAACATCCGGGACAGCTCACTTTCTTGAACTAAAAGGTATCCCCGTGGAACGAGTGCTGAAACTGCACGAGGGGCGGCCACATGCTGGTGATATGGTTGCTAATGGACAAATCCAGTTGATGGTTATCACGAGCTCGTTCGATGCACTTGATCAGATTGATGGTCGGCAGCTGAGGAGAATGGCCCTCGCTTACAAGGTTCCTATAATAACAACCGTTGATGGAGCTTTGGCAAGTGCTGAAGCAATCAGAAGCTTGAAGTCTAGCACCATTAACATGATTGCACTTCAGGACTTCTTTGATACTGAGACAGGGGAAGGGCAGAGCAAAAATTTACTGTCTACTACATCCTCTCTATAGATTGGAAAGGCATTTCGGGGTAAGGCACTCCCCTCTTTTATCTCCTTGATGCTTCCTTTAATATGTTTCAGTCTTTGCTTGGGATAGAATTTATTCCAAGCTGCTTTCTTGCTGTCTAATATCTTATTCTGTCTAATAATCCGATTCGATGACGACAAATTCGAAGATAGGGAGTACTTATGGACTGCAAAATATTACATATATATGTATAATAAGATGATGCAGTTTTCATGTGCTTGTACCTGTCTATTATCTTATACACATTATAACCAAGAGATGGTTGAAAACTGGAAGCAATAGCTGATTAATGAGCTATGATCAATATGATACTAAATCAAACCAATCTTATGGCCCAAGATTGATCTCTGATGGACCCTTTGCCTTGGTAATATGCTTTCTTTCTAAAGGCAAATGCATTCACAGTAATCAGAATCAAAACATTTTTTACTGTCAGCCGAAGTAAAAAGAAACGAGAGCTAATACTGTTGTATAGAAAACAAAGAAATTACTGATGTACACATAAAACTTCAAACTTTACCACGAAGATAAAAGCTTTTTTTTGAAGAAAAAAATTAACTTTTTACTGCTTTCCACTAACCTGGCTCATCAAAAGCCAACTCCAGCAGCACCAACTCCGACTGCAGCCAGCTCGAGCTTCACATTCCTCCAAAGCAGCATCGGTGCAGGCTTAACCGATGACCTTTGTGGTTCTGATTTGCAGCGCAATTGATTCTTGCCTTTTACCCCCCAACAAGCTTCATTTTTATCACAGTTCCACCGCTGTTGGCTGCAGCTGCTATAGCCATTGGCAGAGCAGCTGGGAAGGAGCAAGAAGACCTAGGCGGGTTTAACAAAATAGGGACAGCTTTGACTCACGCCCATTAACAGTAATCAATCTGGAAATATCTTCTCTTTATCTTCACTCTCATTTTCCAGGTCGGATTCGAATCTTTCCTGGGTTGTCTCCGTTTGTTCCTCCTCCCCCTTCTTCATCTGATTCAACACCCAAGTTTTCATCTGATTCAACACCCAAGTTTCATCTTTGCTTCAGCTACTGCTTTTCCTCCTCCCACATTTTAAGATCCATTTTTTTTTTACTTTGATTTGACCATCAGGTCTTGTTTATTGTCATTATATCAGCATGATGGGCGAATGATACCAATTATTTACATCTCAACATAAAAAAATATGATTCAATATTGAATTTCAAAAACATTTTATACAAAAATCAATAATTCATTGAAGTTAAATCAAGAAGCTAGTTTTTTCTTATCATTGGCGTAAATAGGAATATATGCGATCCATTTTTCCTACACCATTGAAAACCTAATAATTAACAATTTTATGTTGAAAGGAACATTTAGAAGGAAAAACTCTAGTTATTTGTGATAAACTTACTTTAGTCAAGTTCCAGCACTACTTTACCAAGGATCAGTTTCTTGTCTTTAGCTTCATGAGCCTCTCTTACTCGAGTTATCGGAAATGTTTTTTCGACAGGTACAGTCAGCTTCCCAGCTTCTGACAATTTGCGTATCTCATGTAAGCCTTCCAAGTCTGCCCTCATGTATATCCATGAATATTCTGCAATACAACAAGTGATTGAAAGATTTGGCAGCGGATCATTAATGTCATGGGATATGAATCCATGTTTCGGAAATGCACCATTTCATGGCATACATTTATTGAAAGGCTTTGACCTCTTAAACACTCGAGATCAAAATATATTGAAGAAAGAACAAATCTTAGAATAATAGTGTGTTTTACCAGCATTCATTATTAGAATGGAAAAATATGCATGGATGATGTACAAGATGACACACGTGCTAATGTCTTTTACAGAGTGATACTTGATATACCGGAAAATCAACAGAAAGCGAAATCATTAACAATATTATTTCTTCTTAGATGATTTCTTATATAGATTTTAAATAAGCACCGTCATTTCTGAAACTATATGTTTATTGAGTGTAGGATGACAAAAAAACCATGTACCTATTCCGTGAGAATATTTGTACTGAATCTTTTTCTTCCATAGAACAGCTGTAGCCACAGGAAGCCCAATCGGTAGTCCATACCTGTCGCTCAGCGCCGCTGCCTCTCCCTACAATGACAGGATCAAATAAGATCATATACAACTAAACATCCAATAATTACATCACAGCATTCACAACAGAAGTTCCCAGCGTGCGGTGCTAGTATAAATTCTTAAAAGGTTTGCACAAAGGCCATGATAAAATTCCAGGAGAAGTCCAAGGATTCAAAGTGTTGTACGAACAAGAAAGGTATTTGAGGAAAAGAGAAGTGCCCTTCTAAGAACAACAATCATTACAAGGTTCCAATCTCTTACCTGAAGTGTCATATAGTGCCCGCCTCTATTCAAAAGATTGGTGCCTATTCTTTCTGTCTCGGGCACACCAATGGTGTCCAGGACAGCATCGAATTTTCCCTTAATTACTGATTCAATGTCCTGAAAATAAGCCTCTCATTAAATTCAAATCAGTGATCAATATTAGGGAAGAAGAGCAAATTAGTAAGCACTCCAAGCAACTATCAATAACAAAATAACAAATCGCAATTATTAATCACCTCAGAAGTATAATCAACAGCCTGCTCGGCACCTGCTGCCATCAGACGATTTATAGTTTGGTTTCCACAAGTTGTTGTAACAGGGCACCCTGCAGCAACTGCAATCTGAATAGCAGAAAACCTACTGCTCCTCCACCACCTATTACTAATAGCCTTTGTCTGTTGAATGAGAATTTGATCATGGGAGGATACATTGCAACAGTTTCCCAGAAAAATTAGTCGTAAAATTCAGTTGGCATACTTTATTGTATAGAGAATAATGAGCAATTTCAGATTGGACAAATATCAAAAGATAAAAAAATAATAATTAAAAAAAGTTAAAGCCAAAGATAATGAGCATCAGAATAACTATAAGAAAACTGGGATGGATTATAATTTAGCAGCCAGGAATAATTTCGCGGAACTAGAAATTTCAGATTGCTATTGCCATTATAGTAGAAGCCCTTTTGAACCCTCTCACCTTTAATGACAAAAACTATGCACCTCAAAAATGATAAAAGATTTCCATGAACGAGTGCAAACAACTTATCGATGGTAAGACACTTAAGAAAGCAAAAATTTTACAACAATTCATCAAGATTCAGGAAATACATGAAAAACATTACTGAAAAGGATGAGCATCCTAGAGATAGAAACATACCCTTCAGATATCCTTGCAGTACTTTTTAAGGCACGCCATGCAGTCAATGCAGCAAAGGGGATAGCACTTGCTTCCTACAACGCCCAAAACTAATTCTCAAGTTCGTGTTACACGACTATTAGAAGTAAAAGGATGGAAATAAACAATATTCTGCGAATTACGAAATCAAATATATGAGCAGAGTAGATTATCATCCACCAAGACTAATCAGAATGAATGAAAAACAAGTACTCATAAGTCAAGCAATCTACGCTTTCTGAAACATCGAAAGTAACAAATTATTCTTCACTGAGAGAATAAGTAAATGATCGTATAGGTTACCACATGAGTAACTGAAGCTGGTTTCGGAGAAAGCTCGTCCTTTGAAAGAATTGCATAGTCAGTATATGTACCCCTCACAGCAGTTGGATGCAAAGCACCAAAAACTTCTTGTCCTACAGTCAGTGACTTCACTTGGGCACCAACAGCTGCAACTTCGCCGCTAACATCACGACCCAAAATGAGAGGCAGAAGTGGCTCAAAAATGGAACGACCATAACCCGATCGCATCTGGGAAAACAAAAATTTTCGAGAATTTAAAGCAGCATAATTTTAGTTGCACGACTTGAAACGTAATTTGAAATTTTCGTTATATACAAACATATTTAGTTTCAATCTTTTTGAAGTTCTTGAAATTAGTTCACCAATCTATACAGTTTCAAGATCCACAACTCAAACATGCACTAAGAAATTATATAGGAAAATTGCTTTTAAATTCGTTTATTTCTTTGCACATTTTCATGGCTACGAATAACCAACTCTAGATGAACCGAACAATTTAAACAAGGAATTCAATTAAAATACCCCTTCAACATGCATCGAGGAGATCGGCTCGTATAGCTACTAAATCAACGGAAACCAAAAGTAAACAAGGAACTCATTTCATTTTCTCTCACTTTCCTATGGATCAAACAATCCAATTCAATAAACAAATAAAAAAAATTACGTTTACGTTATACAAGAAAGTTCAACCCACTTACTCTGGTATCAAGGGATTGATAGATACAGCTCGGGCTCGAACGAGAACTTCATTGGGCTTAAGATCAGGAACAGACACATCGGGTCGGAGCTCCAACACCTCAGTCCACCGAACCGAGGCAGCAACACCGCCCTGCACCTGCTGACGTAGCACCGAATCGAACCCACTTTCATTGATGACTCCGAAATGGTCTGGGTTTTAGGCTTTGAAGTTTGAAAAAAGCCATTCCTTTCCCCTTTTTTATGCTCAAATTTATGGGTTTCCGCTGCTTTCGTCTGATAAAAGCAAAGTAGAGACGAAATAGGATGAAGCAAGGAGAAACGTGGAAGTGTTCTAGTCACTCAGAGAAGTAGTTGCTACTAAATGCCTAAGGGGGCGTGGAAGGAGAGGAAATTGCAAAAACAATTTTTATTTGCTTATTTATTGCATAAATTAAATAAATCAAAGTTCTAACCTTACCTAATTAAATCAAGGCTTTGGATTTGCAAATTGATGTTTGTTTGACATAAGTAAATATATATTATATTTTTATAACATGAAATATACGTACTTAAATTGTATTCTTTAGCTTAATGTATAAAATTTTATTTTGTTATAATTAAATTGATTAATTGAAATTTATTAAAGCTTTATTTACCAAATACGTTTTACGTTCAAAACAAAAACATGAACAAAAATTTAAATTTTTCACACACAAATTTCAAGGACTAAATTAAAACTTTCATGAACTTTGTAGTAATTACATGACAATAGCCCCAAACAAAAAACACAGAGGTTAGAATTTCAGTGGGGGGCTTAGCCCCATTTGTAAAATTAATGTCTGAACCTACTACTTTCCTCCCTGTATGTTTTGAGGGCTACCAGTAGCAATGGTAGTGTTTTGATTCGGGATTACCAGTTTGTGCAATTACTGAAGAAATACTAGCATGTGAAACACCTACTGGAGCTGTCCTTGATACATCTGGATTATGCTGCTGCTGCATTGTATTAGCTGGTGTGGTGGTTGTCGAACGATCCGTGCTGGTTTTCTGCTGATCTGTGTTAGTCAAGGCATGCAGTTGCTGCAGCCTGTAATTGTGTGATAGACTGGAGATATTAGAGAAGGAAATCGAAGAAGAATAAAGGATTTAAGAAGTAAGAAACGAGAGATTACAGAAAGAAAAATTCTTCATTCATTTCATAAGGAATCCAATTCCTATTACAACCTATATTATTTAGTTACAGGGCTAAAACAGTCATTTGCAAGGAGTCAACTGGCAGTACTTTTAACAGATTATAACTATAGATTCTATTCTTGTAGGGTATTGGAACACGTGGGCTATTCCTTATCCTTTTGGACTGATTGGGCTGCTACTTCCTCTTGGATAATATCTCGGTTTGCTTCACCATCTCTTGAACCGATCACGTTTTGCTCCACTTCATCAGGTAATCATTCGCCCTTCAATTCCAGAATCCCTAATTTCCCATTTTCATTTCCCTCTCGCACTCAATCCCTAATTCCCCTTTTACAATTCTCCTTCGCATCTCAATCCCTAATTCACCATTTTTCTCTTTGTTTCCACGCTCATCTCTTCCAACCGTGACAATACCCGCCGCTGGAGAGGATCCTTGTCCCCTTGTCCCCAAGGATCAAAATTCAGAAATTGGCCTCGAAGCACAGAATAATCTTCCCATGTGTCATTCGTAGCATCTAGGTTAGTCCAACGAACCAATAACTGAGTTATCAGTTTGTTTTGTCGTTTACTTATTCGTCTGCCCAGGATTTGACTTGGTTCAATCTTTAACTGACCTTCTTCGTCCATTACAGGAGGATCTGTTGAAGATGATACGGTTGCACCAATATGTTTTTTCAATAACTAACATAAAAACCGGATGTAGACGTGAGGTCTCCGGTAATCCAGCTTATAAGCAACCTCTCCAATTCTTTCAATAATCTTATAAGGTCCATAAAATCGTGCTGCTAATTTAAATTTTTTCACAAGGCAAGAGAGGTCTGTATATAAGGCTGCAATTTCAGGTAAACCAAATCACCAACCTGAAAAGTTCTCTCTGATCTGTGTTTATCTACTTTTCTTTATTCGATTACTTGCCTTTTTCTAACTGAGACTTGCTAATTGCCTGATATCTTCCCTATTCTGCATTACTCTGATATGTTTATAGTGAACTGTTTGTATGCCATACCATAGTAGGAGGCTTGTAGCCAGGACTTCAAAAGGTGTTAACTTAAGAGCAGTATGGTAGGTAGTATATTACCCATTCAGCATGAGGACCACTTTGCCCATTGCTTTAGTTGGAAAAACAGAGACCCCTAAGATCTGTTCTAAGCATTGATTTACTCTTTCTGACTGTCCATCAGTTTCAGGATGGTAAGCAGTGCTAAATAGGGTCTTAGTGCCTAACTGTTTCATTAGCTCTCTCCAAAAGAGGCTAGTGAAAGTCTTTTCCCTGTCTGAAATGGCCATTTTAGGCTGGCCATGCAACTTGTAGATAGAATCTTGGTATATTTTGGCCCCTCTGCAGCAGTGTAAGGTGTGCTAATGCCAAAAATGGTTATATTAGTAAACTTGTCAACCACCACAATGATGTAAGGCGAATCTACACACTTTGATGAAAAGAGTAGATAGCCTTATGTCCCGATCTAGGATTGACAAGTCTGATGTCCTTGAATTAATAAGCTTGGGCTGCAAAATAATAAGAAAGAAATATGATTAATGATGGTTTAAGAAATGAATAATAATATAAGTAATGGAATGAAAGAATAAGAATAGATGGTTGTGGAATTATGGGATTGATGATGGTCTTGATGAAGGATGTTTGATGATGTTGATGATGAAATAAGATGGTGGTGATGTTGTATCTCAAACTCGCCAAGAGGAACTATGCTATGAAGCACAATCCCGGTCTTCACAAACTGCTTGAGGGTGGTGATTGTGTCTTCACCCACTAGATATAAATCTAGGAATTTAGGAATCAAGATGGAAGGAATGACCCACAAGTAGGGAATTATACTTGTTTAATTTATGCTTATCCTTTAGCTACCAAGCTACCATAATATGCCTTGCTTTGTGTTTCACCTATAGGAATTAACAAACAAACCAAGTAAGCAATGTGTGAGCTCATTTAAGGTAAAATGCATGTTGTCGTGAGGTGTTTGAGTGATATAAGCTATGAATGATCATCTAGAAGCTAAGATAACATGTATATAAGCTAGATAAAAGGCATAGGACGTTCATGAGCTTTAAGAAAACATATATGAGCTAGAAAATAGCTGCATGCATGCAAATGAGCTAAAGAATCATGGATTTAAAGCTAGTGAGCTAATGTAAACATAACATGAGCTAGAATAACATGACATGAGTTAATGAATGAATGAATGAATACATGCTGCCATGATATCTAAATGATATGCAAACATAATAAATGAATCTAAAACATATATAAGCATAATATAAAGCTAAGTAAAGATGTGAACATATGTTATGCATGAAAATTATATAGTTGCAAGTGAATGATACATATGATTATTCAAGCATAGTTTAAGATACAAATGTATGCTCATAATAATATATAGTGCATAATGAGTAAATAATATAAAGTAAGGTATAACCCTTATATTGAGCATGATGAATCTTCAATGATGTGAGTGTGTCATGAAGAAGTTGGTGCAAGACATGATCACATCAACAAGAATACAATTCTTTCTCAAGATGTAGGCAAACCCTCAATAAAATCCATAGTAATTACTTCCAAGCCTGATGAGGAATAGGTAGAGGCTGTAACAACCCTGGTTTAGACACATGCTCCACCTTAGTCTGTTGACAAACTTCACTGCTCTTACATAATTAGCTACCCATAGCTTTCAATTTAGGCCAATAGAAGTAAGACCTAATCCTTTGATAGGTAGTCTGACTAGAATGGCCACCATAAGGGGAATCATAGTGTCTGAAGTATCTAGTCTAAGAGATCCAGCAGCCCAATATACACTCTATCCTTAAATCTAAGGATACCTCCTGAATACTTCCACTGAAGATCAACATTAGGATTAAAAGATAATACAGAAATCCATTGCTTAGCTATAGAATCATCCTTATAACTCCCCTTCACTTCATGAACCCAACTAGGAATGATTAGGGTAGTGCTCATAGTAAAACATTCAGCATGATCTTCCACTGTCTAGATAAAGCATCAGCAACAACATTTGATTTACCTTTCCTGTATTGAATAGTGTAATCCAGCCCCAATAACTTGGTTAAGCATTTCTTTGAATGACAGTAGTCAATTTTTGTTCTAATAAATATTTCAATGGTTCATGATCTGTTTTAATCACAAAGATTTACTCTCTAAATAATGCCTCTATTTGGAAACTGCTAGAAGTATAGCAGGATACTCTCTTTCATAAAGAGAGTGTTGCATGTCTAGGACTCAGAGCCTTACTTAAATAGGCAATAGGTATGCCCTCTTGAGATAAAACTGCACCAATACCACCTGAACTGACATCTGTTTTAAATAAAAGCTCTTACCAAATCTGGTA